GTGATCACGAACACAAAGACACCAATCTTTCCCTACTTAGAAAATTAAAGGGCCGAAGTTTAATAACCCCATTGTACTCTTCATTAAGTTGTAATAAATTAATTTCTGTCCTATGGGAAATGTGTTCACAATTTCTTAGAATGTAAGCGTTGTCTTAAGCAATAATCCCAGACTCTGGGAGAAGAGGTAATTAGACAAAACTCATAACCCAGAATCGATTGTATTATTTTCTCCAGGTGGCCCTGGAAACCCGTGTCTGTGCTGCAGCAGCAATTAGAGACGAAGATGGATGATCTTCCATCCACAACAGCACAACGGCTAAAATGCAATTACTGGCTTTACGGAGAAGAAAACAGGCCAGGCATCATAAACCTCAAAACCAGAATGCTTGGCTTGTCAATGATTCTAAATTATCTAAGCAAGCACTAGAATGAAAACCATTCAATTAGCCTTGTGCTCCACTTGGCAGAGATCAGTGTCTTATAGAATTCAATTCTTACTTTGTTCATACATTCTTCAAAATGAACAATAATTTCTCTAAATTTGTAAAAAGCTTTCACTTCATTTTAAAACTTGATGATTCACCTTCTCTGTGGATCTGTATGTTTAATTCTTCAGGATATAAGATTTTCAGCACAAGTTTTTGTGGTTTAGCTTTTCCCATTTAGATAGATGTAATATTATGGTGAAAAACAAGAATGTTACTTGTTTATCTTGGTAGGTTGACATGGTATAGTTTGAAAAAATAGTGAATTTATTCTGGAATAAGAAAATATTTGGAGCTGTAACACAACAAATGTTTTCCCCACAATGATTTTGTCAAAGTATGACATTAGACATAATGGAGAGTGTCTAGATTTCTTTTCACAAGCTCCAACCATCCAGAGCCACTGATTAAAATGGTCATTTTGTTTATCCATCAAAAGCAAGAAAGGGTTTTGCATGCAAATGACAGTGGTTTCCCCTCCTCGAGCTGAGGATGCTACTGGGCTGGAAACCATTTAGTCCCTTAAGGTAATGGTGTGAAAGAGGCCTTAACCATCAACCACCTAAAACATTCTCCCAGTTGGACACTTAGCAGGCTATTGGCTGGAACTGACTCTTGAAATTAGAAAAACTGATCTAGGAAGCCACAAAAGCGAGCAAAGCCATTTGATTACATGATCATGGCTTGATAGTTCTAAACTCCTTTTACAATTGAAATTGATTCCTGAGTAATATCTCTTTTCACCACCCAGTTTGAAGAGGACTAATCAAAGCACATAATATGTGCCCAATAATTGTCCTCATTAAGTAATTTCAGATAAAACGTTTTGATCATCTTCACTACCTCCAAAGCGTGTCTCCACCATTTCTTTGACTTCCCAAAATGTTCTGGAGCTGCTGGGTAGTAAATCTGAGCCATCATAAAATGGCAGACGAAGGCCATGAAATTGTAGATTTTAGGAAAAGATTCACATTCCATTTGCATGTGAAAAAGGAGATAGGATCCAGAAAGGGGACAGCCAGGAAAATGAATAATAAGTTTTTCCTCTTCCCAAGTCACAAATAAAAATGTGCATTTTTGAACACACAAGCTAAACAGAATTGGAATGCTTTCTGGGTAACTCCAATTGTACCGAATTTAATGATGATGCCCTCCCCTTTTTTAATATAAATTTACTGTTTTAACTTTTTCTCATTTTATTTTTACAATAAGCATGTGTTATTCATACTCAGAAAACACATACACTAAAAGAGCCAGTTAGCATTTTGGTTTATATCCTTGCAGAGTTTTCTCAACACGCTCTCTCTTCTCCCCATGTTACTGGATGTTCTTTATGACTGTGGAAGCAGAAGGGGAGTCAGGGTATTCTAATGAAATTTACTTATAGAAATTTAGCCAAACATATGCTGCAAACACATCTCAACTTTGCTACAGCAGCTCTCAGCGGCTCTGGTGAGGAGTCCTCCACTGGCTCTGCCTTGCTCTGACCGGCTGGGGTAGGGTCTTTGGAGCTCCCCCCACCCCAAGCCTCATTCTGCCTCCAGCCTGTGTTCTACCCAAGGATGACATGCTTGAGCCAGGCATGAGGCCCCCTGACATTTTCCTCAGTCCCTCCTCTCACCATCATTCAGGGAAATGTATTGCAGAACACCAGGGTCTCTCCCCTAAAGGGAAACAGTAAGTGGCTACAGAGTGAAGCAAACATCATTCTCCTCCAACGGCCTCATCTCGTTTACGAAATTACTGCAGCATATTAGGCTATGCACGGCAGCCAGTTCTAGTGTCCCAGAAAAATCAGCTTCTTCTGTGAAACTAGCCTTTTGGCTACTATGAGAGGAAAGGAAACTCTCACGTTTCCAAGAACAAAAAGATAATGCAGCCTTAGCTGCCATTTATTTCAGATCTGCTACATGAGGAGAAGTGTGCTAAGCGTTTTGCATTCATTATCCAGGTTAATCCACACACAAACCCCAAGAGGAAAGTATAGCCTAATGGATAGGAGCATGACCTACAGTCAGAGACCCTGGGTTCAAACTCTGGCTCTGCTACTTCCGAGTTGTGTAACTGTGGGCAAGCTGCTTGACTTCCCTGTGCTTTACGATCCAAGCCTGTAAAGTGAGATAATGAGAAGTACAGAAAAAAGCTTAGCACCTGGGACATGGGGAATGTTCAAAATGGTTTCAATTATCTTTGCCACTATTTTCCCCATTTTACAGATGAGGAAACTGAGGTTTAAAAGATATGTCATTTGCCCTAACTCACTGAGCTAATCTAGATCTTCTGACTTGAGAGGCCAAGGGACATGTCCTCAGTCACGAGCTTTCTTAGATGCTGCTTTAGGAGTACAGGAATTGTCACATTCAGGAATGTCATCACATAAAAGGCCTGGTACATAGTCTGAGGCCTTGTATACAACAAAAGGACCTCTCCTTTGTCCTTTGAGTCAGAGCACTGGCCAGGCTGCTGGCACAGTGGGGGCCTGCTTTGCAGAGGGAAGGGCTGCAGGTGGTGAGAAGAGCTGCACCCTGAGAAGGAGGACGGAACCCCTGTCTCACCGCACATGACTTGTGGTGCTGCCCCTCCTTGTGGAGCCTGCCCTTGTCTCCACAAGGACCAACAGTTGGGTCAAAGGCCTCTCATCCCAGACACCCCTGTGCTGGTCCCCTTACCAGTAAGACATCACCTGCTCCAGCTAACCCCTGCCATTGCTAATACGTTTTCTTGATACTTGCCTCTTTGTTCTTAAAGTAGAAAACCTTAAAATAATTGGATTTTAACCAATCAAGACTTTGCGTGCCCTAGGGCCTTACAACTAGCTTGGCGTTTTAATTCCTGTTTACAAATGTGTTGTATTGTAATGGTGGGTTGTTTTCACAGGAAAAGGTACACTACCATACTATAAACCGTTTCCTGATACCAGGCTGTGGTAGATTGTTCTATTGTTCCAATTATTCAGGGCCTCCTCCAGTGAGATGATTATCCTTCCCCACCTCCCTGACATCAGGCTTGCTCACATCACTTTCTTTAGTCAAAGAGATGTGAGCACAAGTGATACATGGCACTTCTGAGCACAAACTACAAGAGTCACCATGAAGTTCCACCATCACTTCTTTTCCCTCTGCTGCAAATACAGCAGTGCCCAAGAGAGGGGCTGCTCCCTCAGCTTGGATTGTGGAATAAAGGAGAGATGCAGAGCAGACCCACAGCCAGCCCACAGCCCATATACAAGAGATGTGAGAAATCAACTTTGTTACCGTAAGCCCTTGAGATTTGGGAGTTGTTTGTTACTGCAGCACAACCTAGTGGATCCTGGCTACCATATCCACTAAAGCCTATTTAGACCAAATTCATCTAAAATACTACGTTTGCAACGAAAAGTAGTGGAAACTAATGCTTGAAATGATCACCATTAAAAAGAATTGTTTTAAGAACTAGAGCTAGAGGTAAGGCATCTTTACAGGACCAATAGCATTCTTATCAGTTTGCATTTTGGTTTGGATGCCTTTGGGCACATTAAGCTCCCCACAGAACGCAGTTTTCATCCTAATCCTTTTTGCTTCCTCCTAAGCGCATCTGTGAACTAGAGAATTCATACTTCCTCTTTTCAGCATCACATTCAGAGCTTTTGCTAGCCTCATGATGGGCTCCCTTAAATGCATCCCAGACAAAGCCGATTGAAAGCAAAAGCCAAATTCAATTCTGCACATCACACTGGAGAGAAATGGCTCGAAGGTTAAAGGCAGACATGCGGTTCACTCTTGCTATTTCCTCTAAACCTGACTTTGGAATTTTTATTCCTTAGTCATGTAAAGCTATAGTCAAATCAGCTCTCAGATCCAGGGACACACTGTTTTAGAATAGAAAAAGAATGTTGAATGGCAAGCGAGAGAGGGTTATATTCAAGAAGACCGTTTGGAAATGTAGACTTGTAGAAAATGAAATCACATATAAGCAAATATGCCCGGTGAGTTAGATTCCTAGGATGCAAAAGGAAAATAAAAATCAAAAGGTTGGACGGTTCATCTATTTCAATAAAAAGGTATGTGGATGGTGGTGGTGGCAAAGTACCAGTGAAGTTTAAAACACGTGGCTCTGGATACAGATTAAATACACACACACACACACACACACACACTTATACACACACATACAACTACAATATGTTAAATAATAGATATAATTTTGTGTACTACATACAGATGTACACAGACATATCCTGCAGGCTTTACTCATGCAACTCTGCTTCGGGTTTCCTTTTAAATCCATCTTTAGCGATAAAAGGATCCCTTTTTATTTATTAGACACCGAGTTTGGATTTGTTTAGTGTTTTCTGATAATTGTATCTTATCCCATGCTCACTACAAAGTGTCTGGTTTTAGAACCAGCAGCGCTGAAGTAAGTAACTGCCTGGCAAAGGGGAACGTCTGTTTGGCTTAACAGGACGAAGACAAGTGAGGCACCGGCCCCGCAGAGAGGCCCAGCCCTGCCCAGCTGCACAGACATCAGGACTCACCAGATTCTGAGTAAACACGGAAACATCCTCTGTGCTGTTGTCAGAATTCATGCGCACCAGCCTTCCGAGTCTAGGGGAACTTACAATCGTAAAAGTTATAGTTCTGTTTCCTGCACTGTTCATGTCATTGGTCACAGCTCTCAGGTCATAAGATGAAAGGGGCTTCATGGAACCTAAGTGAAAATTAAAACACGCCCGTAAGTAGAAAGCATATGAAGGCTGCCAGTTAATGCAATGATCTTCATAGACCTCTGAAAACTCTGGAAAACACACGGTTATGTATGGGGGACTGGCAAGCTCTAATTTGAAATTGGGCTGTGAGGCGCTGTGAGATCTCGGAGGCATCTATTTATGGACGTGATTCGCTACTGGGGCTGGAGATGAAAGGGAAAAATAGAGGAGGTGGGCTCCTCAACCCCCACCCGGTCTTGGGTATCTAACTGATTCCGAGGAAAAGAAGGCAATGCCATTGTGTGTGGCACCCAGCCAGGCAGGAAGGGGAAGCCGACTGTGTGCACTGAGAGGACAGGAGACAGCGCCCTCCCCTGGGAGGACAGACGCGTCCCGGCCTGAAGGTGGCTGCTGGTGCTCAGTGGAGTGTCCGTCTGCGGACATGTTGGGGGAGAGATGGGCTCTTGAGCAAATATGAGACATCTCCAGAGGACCCCCAGACGTGCAGGTTGCACAGACACTGTGGGGAGTGAAGGGCCTGTGTATGCTAATGTCACCTCATTGGCAACCAAAGGCCAGAGAGGCTTGGGGACACTCAGGTTAGAGCAGTGCTTCTCAAATGCTCGGTGGTGAAGGATCAGTGTTCTGCCCCTCACCCACTGTGGAATGATAATTTTATAAAATACAATAAAATGTTGCAGCAATGTCAAATTGCTATAAAACTTTCTAAACACTTCCCTTCACTTCCCATTCTTATCAGTTCACAGACCAGACGGTCCACTGACCACAATTTGAGGAGCACAGGTGGCAGTACACATCCCTTTACTTTGCAGTGATTTAGGAAATAACCCCAAGCTTATAGGATGCCAGGTCTGGAAGAGATTCACACAGTCATCTCTGCTCAGAATCTTGCCTTATCTTTTCAGGTTTAGCCCTTTAGGCCTTGCACAGGGTAGCCCTTGGAGTAGGCCCTTTATGAATTGTTTATGAAGTGGAATCAACCACGCAATAATAACTAAGCCACCTGAATCACATCCATTTTGCTTTCCTTACTCGGCCACTGTAGCCTTGGAGAGTGAAGGCGACTGACTGTGGTGTTTAAACAACATCAGGTGCTTAAAAGCAGGACCCTGACCACAGCTAACACAAGGGGAAGCCAGCTCTGGGTAAGATTTTCAAATGTGCAAGGATTGTTCTGAGTCTGCAATTTGGAGGCTCCATTTAAAATGCCTGACAACAAAAACAAAAATAAACAAGCAGGACCAAATTAAACTAAAAAGCGTCTGCTCAGCAAAGGAAACCATCAACAAAATGAAAAGGCAGCCTATGTAATGGGAGAAAATATTGCAAACCACATATCCAATAAGGGGTTAATATCCAAAATATACAAAGATCTCATACAACTCAATAGCAAAAAACCAAATGACCCAATTTAAAAATGGGCAGGGGCCGGCCCAGTGGCAAAGTGGTTAAGTTCGCACGCTCCACTTCAGTGGCCCGGGGTTTGCTGGTTTGGATCCTGGGCACGGACCAACACACGGCTCATCAAGCCATGCTGAGGCGGCATCCCACATACAGCAACTAGAAGGATGTACAACTATGACATACAGCTGTCTACTGGGGCTTTGGGGAGAAAAAAGGAAAAAAGGAGGAAGATTGCCAACAGATGTTAGCTCAGGGCCAATCTTCCTCAAAAAAAAAAAAACAAAATAAAACGCCAGAGGGATCCTTAAAAAAAAAAAATGGGCAAAGCACCTGAATAGACATTTTCCAAAGACATACAAAAAGCCAGCAGGTATATGAAAAGGTGCTCAACATCACTAATAATCAGAGAAATGCAAATCAAAACCACAATGACATTATCACCTCACACCTGTTAGAATATCCGTTATCAGAAAGACAGTAGATAAGAAATGCTAGTGAGGGGTGTGGAGAAAAGGGAACCCTTGTACACTGTTGGTGGGAGTGTAAATCGGTGCAGCCACTATGGAAACCAGTATGAAGGTTCCTCAAGAAATTAAACATAGAACTACCATATGATCCAGCAATCCGATTTCTGGGTATTTATCTAAAGGAAACAAAATCATTATCTGGAAAAGATAACTGTACTCCCATGTTCATTGCAGCATTATTCACAATAGCTGGAAGGTATGGAAACAACCTAAGTGTCCATCAATGGATGAATGGATCGAGAAAATATGGTGTATATATAAAGAATAGAATATCATTCAGCCTTTAAAAAGAAGGAAATCCTGCCCTTTGCCAACAACATGGATAAACCTGGAGGGCATCATGCTAAGCGAAACAGCCAGAGAAAGATAAATACTGCATGGTATCACCTATATGTGGAATCTTTAAAAAAAAAAAGTCAAACAGAAACAGAGAGGAGAAAAGTGGTTGCCAGGGACTAGGGGGTAGGGGAAATAGGGAGATGTTAGTAAAAGGGTACAAACTTTCAGTTATAAGATAAATAAGGCCTGAGGGTCTAATGTATAACATATAACACGGTGACCATAGCTCACCAAATTCTCACCAAACAAAAAAGAGCAAATATGTGAGGTGATGGATGTGTTGATTAACTCGATGGGGGGAGACTCCTTTCACAATGTGTACATATATCAAATCATCACGTTGTACCCTTCAAATATCTTACATTTTATCTGTCAATTATATCTCAATAAAGCTGAAAAATAAAACAACATGAATAAAATAAAATAAAATGCCTGAGCCTCTGGCATGGGCACTAGATCCTGGGGCTCCTGAGGGTGAGGTAGGAGTGCCTGGGAATGTCAGCTTCAGGAACACAGTTCCGCCCTAGGTTCAGGACTGCCTTGGCACAATTTTGGTTGTTACACAAAAGTCCTCATGTGACGCTTGTAAATGCCTCCCACATTTCTCTCACTTCTTGCTGCAGAAATTTTTGCAGTCGTTGTCACCTTCCAGCCTCTGGAGCCGGGGGCCCAGGCTCAAAGGTCACCCAGGGTAGGCCAAGAGGAATTATTTTGTACACTTAGTCAATGTTATGTAAAATCAGGTGGATTATGTCTCTCATGTGTGCAGTCTTTGGGCACCCCAACATCCAATTTCTCCACCTTAGTTTTTCTTTAGAATCCTTCCCCACTGTGCCTTCTTAATTATTTCCTTCTTATAAAGCACCCTAACTCTTCACTTATTCCTTCACCTCCAGGGTTACCTTTGGCAGGTGGGAGGGTGGAAGGGATTCTTTTTAAAAAATACACCGTTTCATTTATCTTTTGGGGGTGGAGGACCCAGCAGAGATGTTCCAGGCCAAGAGTTCTTTTCTCTCAGCTGAGGTCCATCAACCCCTCATTCCCTCCTCCAGCTACCTAACCCAGAAGGGCATCTAGGGCGTAATTCCTAGTCAGCAGTCACCCTGGGCTTGCTTAGTCGGCAAGAGTAGCTGGCTGTATGTTGCAACTGCCTCATGAGCATATTTTACTGCCCAGCCCGATTCACCAAAAGCCGAACATCATTTTCCCCCCAACCAACCTCATTTCATCCAAACATTGATATTTTCATCAATGAGCTCCAGGCACTTAACTTGGGAAGGATTCTCTAAGGTCCCACCTAAATCTATATTCCATTAAATAACTGTCCTCCAGCGGTGTAGTAATAAAAGGGCTCTATAAACCACATCTGGTTGGTGAGCTCTCACTCCACATGCACTTCTTAGAGATGTGAAAAGCAAATCAGCATGTTGGAGTCAAGAAATCTGTTTATCCTCCTATTAAATACAGCATTTCTCAAACATACTTGTATCTTATTGTGTTTGTTTCATGAAAAACAACTATCATAACAGAAAGAGTTTCATGGTCATCAGGCTAGGAGGCCTTGTACATTCTTCAACAGGCATTATCAAGTGCCTTGTATGTGACAAGCCCTACAATAAGAGTGGAGATATACCAGGAGTCCTGCCCTTTCTTTTAGACATCGAGATAATTCTAAGAAGTACGTATTTGTTTCCGTATCACTAAGAAGGGATGATAAAGCTCAGAGAGGTTAAGCAACTTGCCTAATAGTCAAAAGTAGGTCTCACTGACTCCAAAGTGAGTATTTTCAAAGTTGACACTATATTGCCTACACCATTCTCCTTGGAGCTCACTGCTGAAATGATATCTGAGTTAGAAAAGAATATGATGATTCATTCAACAAATCTGACAGATTCTCCTCTCCACCTTCCAAACACACCCTGCCTCTTCCCTGGGCTTCACTTCCGCAACCTTGCTTTCCTCTCCGGTGTGCTCACCCCTCTTCGTTGCCACCCACCAAAATGCTACTCACTCTGCAGGGGCAGCTCAAGACCTGTCTTGGCCAACAAGCTCTCCCTGACCAGTTCAGTCTATGGGAAATCTCCCTCCCCTGAACTCACGTAGCTCACCCAGTCTGTACCACTTACCGGACACTTAGTATATGTTTTGCATGATTAGTATACTTTTGAGTGTAAGTCTCTTATTTCCCCAATTAGTAAGCCTTTAATTATTTCCTCAAGGATTGACAATTTTTTCTTACACTTCTTGGTTATCTCTAAGTCTCACAATATTCAGTTTGGTATTTCCAGACCAGCCAGCTGAAAGGTTTTACAAATTTACTCTCAACCCTGTAGCAACATGCTGCGATTTCCGTCTTTGTTCTTCTTTCCTTAATTCCTACCATGGAGGACAGATGGCCCATTGGTGAGATGTGATTCCCTCCATATCATGACAAAACTCCAAAGGGATTGAAGTCACAGAGTTTGTTACAAATACCCTTCACTGATGGGCTACTTAACTCTGGTCTGTGTAAGCTTATATTCTAGATCAGTTTGACAAAACTCTCAAGATCAACCCCTCCTCAACACTCTTTGTAAAAGAGCCAAGTACAATTTGGATGCACAGAAAAACTAGGTCCTAAGGCCACAGTATGTTCCTACATGCCACCACTAAAGATAAACACATTCAATGGAAGCATTAAAGGTGAAAAACTGGTTACAAAACTCCTTTCTGGGGATTAAGTTTTACAGAAAGAAATAGAACATGCATATATATACACACATATATGAGTGTGTATGTGTATTTATATACATAGATAAAAATAACAAAATAAAAATATACATTGAGTAGATATTTTTTCTTAGTTCACATACCAAAAATGTTTGTTTAGAACTTCCTTCTACTTTAAAATAACTGAGTTAAAGAATGACTTTCAGATTTGGCAGGGCATAGAAGCTATGGTTAACCTTAAAACATTTACCCTCTGAGTATTCTTATACTTATTTTGGCTTACCCTACAAATTCTTACAAGTCTTACACCAGGGGCACTTTTTTTTTTTTTTTGAATTTTTTGTTTATTGCAGTAACATTGGTTTACCTTTTTAAGACTGAGTGTGCACAGGAGGCAGAACAGCACGGCCAAAGTCTGCTGGGCTGGTGGAGAAAGTCCAACCGGTATGGGATCAACGTGAGTAAAAAAAAATGTTGACTAATGCTGGGTTGCAATATTTCCCTAACCAAAGAGAGCAAAACACACAACATTTCTCCATAATCGTTGCTGGTGACTAAATTGCTATGCATATTTTCCTAGTTGTATACATCAATCCATCAATAACATTGGGAAGGAGACAAAATAAACAGCTACCATTCTCAGGGACATTCTGAGGGCCCCATTCTCAGGGACCTAACATTCTGAAATAGAGACAGCCCTGGAACACAGGCCCACACAGAAAGAAGAGGACCTGCTGTGATTCCTGCACAGGATTTGGGGTTGGAGGTGGCACTCAGTCTTGGGGCTTATGACTCCTATTAGTTATGTGACTTAGAACCTTCCTGAGCCTCAATGGTTTTTATCTGCCAAATAGGGACGATCAAAGCTTGCTTTTACGCAAAAGTTGCTTTTACATACATTATTTCATTTAAATCCTTGTAATAGCTCAGTGCAGCAGATAAAAAAATATAAAACACTATAAAAACAGGTATCAATAGTATCTGAATGTCCATTCTAGGATAGAAATCTATTAGATTTTCTCCTATTACGGTTCTATAAAATCTATAGTTCTATAAAAAGGAATTGATTTTCCCTGATATTTCAGAACATTTAGGTCAACTTGAGCCTGACAAGAACAGCAGGAGCTGATAGCTGACACCTGGAGTCATATTCCAAGGTGGGACACAGAGTGCTGCCCTTCCCCCTCAGCCAAGGGGCAGGCTGACAGATGAGCGAGGCAGAGGTCACTCAGGGGCTGCTCCCAGCAGGACCTGACGTGGTGGGGGAGGGTCCTGAGGCAAGAGGAAGAGTGGGGCATCTGTTATCATCCCCCCGCAGCTTTACACAGCGGCAGGACCGACATCCTTGGGTGGCTGCTGCAGAAGCCAGGCTGAGCAAGGCTCTATTGGGTCCCTGGAGAGAGGACGAGGAAATGCGCTCATCAGAACCACACTCACACCAGGGAATTCCGATATGGAACAGAGGGGGCCACTGCTACTTGGGGATGTTAGGGTAGGAAAAACGCCAAGAAAAAGTGGAGCAGGAGAGTCATAAGGTCCATCCCAACTCTAAAATCTGTGACTCCGCAGTCTCATTTCCACACCCACCCAACTTGACAGTTTATCAAATATAAGAGCCACCTAATGGAAATGTACGTGAAAATCCATCTTCCTTCCTCCTGGCCAGGAGCTGGAGCTGAAACAAGTCACAGTCTGGGGATAGCAAGTAACACAGAAAACAAGAATAACAGACCCAGCGTGCTGGGGGAGTTGGGAAAAAGGAGCAGTTCACTTTGAGATTTGGGGATAACATGCAAGTTCCGATGGAGGGTTCTTGGACACAGGGAGGCCAGGTCAGGACAGGCGCAGGGCATGTTGGAAAGGGGAAGGAGATGTTACTCAGGGCTGTGTCCAACTATTAAACTATGAAAACTATATGTTTTGCACTATTCTACAAAAGTGATGAGGGAATTTTGGCCACTTTAACATACTTTTCCTGCTGAACTAATATTCAGTAAAACACACCAGAAACTCAAAACTTTTTAAGCTGTAGCGGCTATAACTCCCCTTAATCTAATACAACTGTCTTCAATTACTAAACCAGAGTTTAGCCAGAGGAGATGAAAGATATTTAATCTTCTGCAGCAACAAGATTTACTCTGATTTTAGAACTTTTTTTTCCATAGATGACTATATTTTTCAGATTACTAAGGGTGCAGTAATCTGCTTATTTTTTTTTAACACTAAATGGCAGCCTAATTGCCTTGAAAAATTTATAGAAGCATCATACTTATTCTCAGAGAAAAATTATGGAACATAAAAAGGTTTTAGAATAGAAGAATCTGTATGAACATACTCTTCTCTGCATTTTGATAAGGTTCCTTTTCAGGAGCTCAAATGCTTAAAGCAACTAAAAATTTCAAAATCTCTCCTAAAAATTGTTTGTTTTTTTTTTTTTTTTTTTAATAGTTACAAAGAGCAATTTCTCTCTAGGTCTACTACAGAACGATGTGAGCTTTATCCACCATTTACTAGTTGCACAGCCAGGTTACATTATCTCTCTAAGCCACAAATCCTGCCAGCTGCCTGTGACTATATCACCTACCTCACATAGATGGAAGGATTAAAAGGCCAGTACAGTGCCTAGCCCTGTGGCTCTCAATCCTGGCTGTACTTCAGAACCACCTGGGACTTAAAATAAATTAGTATTTTTAAAAGCTTCCCAGGGCTTGAGAACAACTGGCTAGAGTAACCATAGAGTAACCATAATCAATAAAATGAATAGTGTCCTTCTTCATCTATGTTTTACTGGTAATGCATGTCAATTAAACGTCATGATGCACAGGTTTTTTTTTTAAATGTAATATAAATTTTATTATTTCTTGTGCTATGTTGGTGCTTTTTTTTTTTTGAAATAACAAGTTTAAATTTGTTTTCCTCCTTTTTCATTCCTCCTGCCATTGAGTAAATCTTTCCCTATCCCTGCAACGAGGGTACTGAGCCAGAGATGCTCACTTAAATCTTTCCATCTCAGCGTGGCTGAGATTCTTGGCAAACAGCAGTCCAGAGGCCTCAGGGCCCCGAAGCAAGCACTCAGTGGAATCCCTACAGTCCCTTGATGCACAGGGTTTTATATTGAAAAAAAGAGAACTCCGAGATCTAGATGGTCCCTGCAGAGCCTGGTCTCCTTGCTTCTTCACGGACCCTCAGGAGAGAGCAGGAAAAAAGTGCACATGGACCACAAAGATGGCTGCTCCAGTGATTCCTCCCCTCGTTGCCCTTCACCAACATGCCCTCTTCTGAGGAACTGCAGAGGGGACAGAGAGAGAGGGTGGAAAGCCCCAGCCTTGCTTTTGCTAAATTCCTGCTAAGAGAGAATTCTCTCTGGGACTTGATGACGGTTGTTGGTATCACTCTATGGTAGAAGATGATGCTTTATACCATGTAGGTAGAACTTTCTAAATAAATTGAAAAATACTTAAACCCAAACACTCACTCAAGTTAAAAATCTTACCTGGAAAGATGCTCAGTCCTCTGTTTACTTCTAAGCTAATGATCAGAGCTTGAGCTGTGATGCTAAAAATTTGTCGCGGTGCCAAGTTCAAACCATCAGTGACCTGAAAATTAAAGCCTCCTGACTTTGCTCCTTCAAAAGAAGAAATTACACTCTGGTCAATACGGTTGTTCTGCAAAAGCCACCCACTTTCACCCTCTCTCCCACCTGATCCCCCTGCAAAGCAATGCCGTCAACTGCAGTGTGTGTTAATACAGTCACTGAGCTCACCAAATCAAATATTGTCAGAACACGAAGTTAAAAGAACGTCAATAAAGGTCTAAAATGCATATCCCTCTCCCCACCATGACACAATAAAAGAAAGCAAAGATGTAACCTCCAAAAATTTTTTTTAAATTTTAAAACATATTCATCACCTGCATTTTATTATTTTGGAATCAATTTATACCATAAAAGTAATGCACGCATGCAACACACACACATACGCACATGCCCTAACGATTTCTGAAATATTGATCATATTTGTTTGATAATACTGAAAATCACAACTAGGGGAAGTAAATAAAACTTAGCCCCTCCTCCCAAATAATTTCTAATTATTCATCTATCTCAAATTAGCTGTTTTCTGCTAAGAGGGGAAAGAGAGAGTGAGGAAAGAGCCAGACCCGCTTTTGTTAAATTCCTGCAAGAAGAGAATTCTACTCTCACACTTCTGTCAAGGGATTAGTAATATCGGTAAAGTTACAAATGAACTCTTGTGCATAACAGAAATTGAGACGGGCGCCTATCGATTCAGTTCCCAGGAGTGCTTTACCAGTCTGACTCACAGAGTACCAGGCAAGATCACCATGTAGAGAGCCCGATGTCCACATTCCCATTGCCCTTTGAAAATGTTCCCCCAGCAGGAAATCTGGAGGCCCACAGGTCTTTGCATCAAGTAATGGGTAGAAATGTCCTCTCTGTTGCCCTCAGGGACATGTGGCAAGGAACAAAGAAGGCATGGTCCGACTCTGCAATTACGGACAAGTACTCCCTTAATAACACTGTTCAATAAAGGGCTGGTCGATGGCTTAACAGTTGCTCAAGTCTGTTATCTAAGCAAACCCAGAGAGTTCTGATTCCCCATAAAAAAGGTTACAGAATTTAGAAAATTACCCAATACACTCAAGAGTCATGATTTAAAAAGAGAGAATTCTGAGTCTGCCTAATTTAGAACAGGGGCCTATAATCAAGTTTTTGTTTGTTTGTTTGTCTGCTTGTTTTTACTGAAAATAGCACTTTGAAAGTTGTATTTAATGAAACATGAAATTAGGGAGAGAATGCTCTCTGCCATTAGGCCCTTTGAACATTTCATGAATCCGGAAACAAAATGGAAATGGAATCAAAAGGCATTATATCAAAACAAATACTAGAATAGTATATGGGCATGCCCTATCTTGCTAATTATGACCAAAGAGAAGAAAGGAGGCACATGTGAAAGTCAGAGTGACCTGTGGACTTTATCTTGTACAACCTCAGATTCTCCTGACAGTGCTCTCAGAAAGCCAACCGTAAATCACTTAGCCTCTCACATCTTGGCTTAATCAACCTACTTAGATTATTATGGGGAATAATGAATTAGATTAATGGCAGAGCACTTTGCAAATATCAAATGCTAACAGACTAATTAAACCTAAGCCTTTGTTTGGGCTGATGGATGGACAGATGTAGCAGAGAGAACCAGCTGGTTTCAGCAACAGACCCATCTGCAGTCACTTTGAGGGCTATTATTGCCTCCACATCCATTTAGAAAATGTAATGGATTGGCTCTCAAAGAGCTTGCCTTCAACTCCCTTCCTGCTTTTTCAGAAGAAATTGTTTTCTCTACTTGCCAAAAGTGAATATTGACCTGGTAGTTGACAAATCAATCAATCCAGAGAGCTAATTTTTATTTTAATCCTTGATTGCAAATAGTAATTTCAGTTCTTCAACCTACTCTGCCCTCAATGGGTGGGCAGCTGGTAGAGAAAGCCCAGCTTCAGGGTCAGACCAAGTTACATCTTTCTGAGCCTAAATGTCTTCATCTCTAAAATGGGGTCATTACTCCCAATGATTGCTTAGAGGACTTCTGCCGATGAGATGAAACCGATCATGTGTGCCTCCTGGGGGCCTAGCAGGTGCCAGAGAGTCAATAGTTCCTTTCCATTGCAAACTACACAGTTTCAGAAATTGGAAACTTCCCTTGTGCAAGTCTCTAGAACAGGTCTCTCCATTTTGAAAATATGATAATCTTTTCATAAAAATGAAAAATTTTCTAGTCTTTCACCTAATAATACTTGGATTTTTCGTATCTACTAATCAAAACCACACATAATGGGCAGAAACCTCCTATCAACTCAGTGCCTCTTTAAATAATAAAATTGTATTTTATTAATCAGCTTATCTGCACACATTTAAAAAATGGAAACATATATATGTGGAAAAGATCACTCAGTCTAGAAACAATGCTTTGGCACATCTGTGGGTAGATTTAGGATCTTCTTGCAACAAAAGTAACCCCACAGGTCCCCAGGCTACAGGTTTGTTACCACTATATGAGAGCATTCACATAGTAAATTATTTTCAGAGTATTTGGGGATTCTTTGCATTAACTGTAAAGATAATCAGGAAATTACTACATTTGGATTTAGATGTTTTATCTTTATTTTCTTCACTATATTCTCAAAGAAGATAATTAAAAATGGCTGAAAAGATATGACTTGCAGCTTTCCCATCTTGTGGGGCTGGCTCATGCTCCCTCCCATTTCCTCCAGCAGGCTGGGCATGGGCTGCTACCCCGCCTGCCCTGTCCACTGACAAAGGGCAGCCTGGACACAAAGCCAGGCTGGATCGCGCCTTCCGCAGATTTACAGTGGCTGTTTGGCTTATTGATTTTTTGATTAACAGAAGGAAGGAAAAAAAGCCTTTTAATGTCAGGGTCTCTTAGAATTACACTTATATTCATTTGTTCACTCATTCACGCGTTCATTCATTTAACAGATATGTTTGTTTTGTTCACTAATGTGTTGCTAGCATCTGGAACATTACCTGGCACATGACAAGCATTGAATATTATTTCATTCTTTCAACAGTTTTTATTAGGCCCCTTCCACGATCCAGTCACTCTTCTAGGTGCTGAGGATACCAGAGCAAACAAAACTAAGATCCTGCTCTTGTGGCACTTATACTAGTGGGGAAGACAGAAGACAAACAAACATGCAAATCAGTCTATACCACAGTGCCAGGTAGTCAGGGTAAGGGATGGAGGTCACCAGAGAAGTGGTGCTATTTTAGCAGGTGGTCAGGAAAAGGATCCCTGAGAAGCTTCTATTTGAGCACAGACCTTACACGACAATGTGAGAACGCCATGTGTGAGTTATAGGTTCTTTCTAATGTTTGCTATTATTAGCCTTAGTAAAACATGCCACTTTTTAAAAAATAGAGCCCGGATAGTTTCTAGATGGCTTGTGGTTTTCTGTCAGCAACTAGGAGGTGTGACTATCGTGTTAACCTCTGATTGAAACACATTTAGTTTCACATTGTTTTTCTCTGTGACGTACCAGTGTGGACAAACACTAGCTGGCCCTCGTTGATTTGAGCCTGGGTGAAGTTCTGGATACTTCGTCCAGGAAAGGACTTGAGAGCCAAATGCCCGTTGCTCGGTGGAGTGACCCAGTAGGTGAGGTCCTGCGGGGAGGAGTCCCCATCCTCTGCACAGAGGTCACCACTGGTAATGTCAGTGACAGAATTCACCCACACCTTAAAAAGAAGAGAACCAATTCCAATTGCACAGACCAATTCCAATCACATCACACTAGTAAACCTGATAGCGATGATACTCTGAACCTTGCAGAAAGATTTAAAAACTAAAGCCATTCACCAGTGTTTTTAAAGCATGAGGTTTCTTAATCCAAAACAGACATATAATTAAATGCCAGACGAAATGCAAGGCATGTTGTAGTGTTTGTTTAATTTATGAGGTTTATGAGGTTTCAATAAAAAATACTATTCGTAATTATTTATTCAAAATTAAATTAATTAAATTAAATTAAAAATTAATAATTAAATTATTTAATGCATATATGCATTATTTAAAGCATAATAATACTAAAAACTGATAGTTACTAAGCACTTCTGTATGCCTGGCATATGCTACATATGAAGCATATGCTAAGATTCTATGTGGAATCTCAGATAATCACAGAACCTACCTCATAGGGCTGATTTAAGGATTTCTATTTATCATTTTAAGAAGGAAATGATTTCATCAGCTTTTAAATATTTGAGGGAACAACATACATTGCACATTTTAAAAATTCTCCTCTATCCTACTTGTCTTGCAGGAAAACAAATAGCTGGCTCCTATGGCCTTGCAATATTTACTGTGCTGATAGCTTATCTACAATTGTTTCTGAGTAATAGTCTCTATTTTCCAATAACATTTAAAATCTATTTAAATTGCTTAAATGTCTTAATTCAACAATTCATCATCTAGCAGCATATACTACGTCCCAGGCAATGTTCTGGGTGCGTGCAATCCATCAGCAAACAAAACAAAGAGTCCTTCCTCATGGAGCATTCATTCCAGCAGGAGAGGATGAAGGAATGCAGGGAAGAAACAAGAGGCACAATAAAGAAATGAATCATATAGTCCCTTAGAAGGTCACAGGCACTATGAAAAAATTTAAAACAAAGCTAAATAAGGGGCTCAGGAGTGGGAGAATGTTAAGTAGGAGCGCATTTGAGGGAAACTGGAGGGAGGTGGAGGAGCCACATGGATAGGTGGGGAAGAACACCCAGATAGAGGGAGCAGCCCTAAGGCGGGAGCGAGCCTCGTCTGTTTGAGGAGCAGCAAAGAAGTCAGCGTGGCAGGAGCAGGAGAAGAGAGAGGAAGAGTAAAAGGAGATGATTAAACGTGGTGGGAGGTCTTGAATGCCGCTGTAAGAACTGTGGCTTTTACTTGAGTGCAATCGGGTATCATCACGTGGTGATGAGTAACCTGGTCTAACCAGTAACCTGAGTAACCTGGTGAAGAGTAACCTGGTCTGACTTAGGTCTTAACTGAATCCCTGTGGCTTCTGTGTCAAGAATAGACTGTGGGAGGACAAGGGTGGAAGCAGGGAGAACAGTCAGGAGGCGACTGCAAAATCCCGGAGAGAGATGAGAGAAGAGAGTGGCTGGAAGTTGTCAAGTGGTAAGAAGCGGTCGAATTCTGGGGCTGTGTTGAAGGTAAAGCTAACAGTTTCTGATGAGTTAGATGTGGTGAGATGTGGAAGAAGGAAAGGTGGCAAGAAGGACCCCATGGTTTGGGCTCAGCACCTGGAAGGATGGATTACCACCGTCAACTAAAATAAGGAGAGCTGCCGGGAGAGTGGCTTTGGGAAGTAAGATCAGGAGTCCAGTCTAGAACATGTTGACTTTAAAATACTTATTTAGACATCAAATCACATCTGATGGAATTAGGCTGTTTTGAGTTTCTATAATCATGCAGTCACATGATATTTCACTAACACTAAAAATGGGCTGCTTTATCACTAACTAAATTTTTACATTGCTATGTATATTTATAAACATCTTCCCCACAGAAACACTATGCACATTCCTAAGCTTGTGTGGCATTCTTTGCTCTCTGACTAGAACCTTATCATCTTCCATGCTTGTTACCAAACTTGTTTAAAAATTCAATCCTAAATGACTTAATAGATAATCTCTCTGGTCTAAGGGGCTGTTTTCCTCAGTAGAACAGGCAGTTTATGAAATAACTTAATTCATGCCCACTCATCATCTAGTAACTATTTAAAAAGAATTTGAGAAAGGGAGATCAGAAAGTATACAGGATTCCCACATTTTCGTATTAGGCATGATATGCCACTTTAGCTGTGTAACCTTGGGCACATTTTTTAATTTCTCTGTGCCTTAATTTCCTCATCAGTAAACCAGGAATGACAGGATTATTTTGTATAGTGAGTGATTTAAGATATGTAAAGTACTTAGAACAAGCTTCACCTTGCACATAGTAAGCATTCAATAAATATTAGCTTTATGTTACCCATCTTCTTCATCACATTTGGCTCTGAGGATGGATGTGATTTTTTTAATATTTCTTAAGTCATTTGGCGTGTGATGATTACTACGATAGAGGCCATTCTATAACATGTACTGCAGATTTTGTTTGATCCCACAGCATTCCCCTATAACTTGGGGTGAGTAGTTTATCTGTTTATTGATTGTGTTGTCAATGGATGCTGCTATAGCTTGGCATTTGGAATATGCCCACTGAGGATTTTTCAGCCCTAAACTCTAAGTACATCAATTTTTTAATATCTACCAGAAATGCGAATCAACTTAATGTTTAAATTATAAGGTTTTGGCCTTCAGTTAATCCATGGAAAGGCTACAGTTTCTATAAAATATGCAGATTAGACTGTTTAACAAAATTTCAAGCCCACTCATTCTAGTTTTTCACTTCTTACATTTTAAAATCCATCCATGTATCTTATTCTCATTTCTTCAAGAACTCAGACTGATTTGGAAATGTATTGCCATTTCTCTTCCCGTGACTCGCAGATATTCATTTTTTCCAATACCATGCATACAAAAGCTGGATGAAGCATGTTTTCCACTGCAGTTACTCTTCTGTGAAACACTGCTTTTGCCCCCTCTTGCCTCTAGAATATACCATCTTCCAAAACAAATGGAAAACCTGCCACTCAAAACAAAAGCTAGTAACCTCAGGTCTTCATTTCCACTGGAACCAAATTTAGTTCATTTAACAGCCCCATTGCTTTCGGTGAGGCCTGATCTAGTGCCCAGACATTGGTAATGGAAACTTCAGATAGATGGGGGGAAGAAAAACAATGACCCCAAACTTGAATTCAGAATTAAAAGTAATCCAAAGCCCAAGAAATAATGGGTTTAAGGAATAAATATCTGAAAAGATTAACACATTAATTGGAATAATTTCTTTTTAATTTGCCTTTAACTCATACAGGAGGTTAATGGGATTTAGAAACCTAATTATAATCCAATATAATCCTAATTATGATCCTAATATTTAAAAACCCAGACCTTTGAGTTTCTCATGAGGGATGCGAAATATTCAGGAATTCACTACCATACTATTTGACCCTTCTGGGCTGTCAGTCATTCCACTGTCCCTAGCTCTCAAAGCTCTTTTTAGTGATGACAAGTGCTTATCAGAAACAAGCAAGTGGTTCTATTTTTGGTATAAAAAACAACACCAAACCAAAACGAACAGTATTATTGAAAGCAGAAGTTGAAAAATAAGAAAATGAAGCCCCCTTGTGGACACAAATATATTTTATCAGGTATGCAAAAAATCACTGGGCTGCGCGAATACAAAAGTACTCAGTAGAACATATTTCAAAGTAAAATGCAAAGGATTCACCCGAGGTGGTCTAACTCCAATTCCTAACTCCAGTTTGTCAAGACGGAAATGATCTCTGGTACCACTGAATGGCCCTGGAGATCAGCCAGCCACAAGTCCTGTGGTTTAAGGAAATGTTGGTTAAAGTACTTCAGGAGAAGAAGTGTATTGGAAATGCTGAGACGGAGTGGTTAACATTCAGATTTCTGCCTTTGAACTTTCATCCAGAGTCTGAGATGCTATCAGCAGCTCTACCTCCTATCCTCCCACTTCCTTCTCCCAAGTAGACTGCAGATGACCCTTCTTGCCACCTCCTCCAAGCTCCAATGACAAGTGAGGAGAGTGAGTGGTCATGTGGGATACTCTTAAGGTCTTGAGAAAATGCTGTTTGAAAAATCAAAGACAGCATAGAATCTAGAGGCCATGATGGTTAATTTTATGTGTCAACTTGACTCGGCCACAGGGTACCCAGATATTTGGTCAAACATTATTCTGGGTGTTTCTATGATGATGTTTTTGGATGACATTACCAGTTAAATCAGTTGACTGAGTAAAGCAGATTTCCTCCCTTATGTGGGTGGGCCTCATACAATCAGTTGAAGGCCTGAGTAGAACAAAAAGGCTGATCCTCTCCCTAGTAAAGAGAATTCTTTCCTGCCTGACTGCCTTTGAACTGGGACATCAGCTCCTCCTGTTGACCTACGTATGGGAACTATACCATCGACTTTCCTGGGTCTCAGGCCTTTCAACTCAGACTGGAACTAAACCATTGGCTCTCCTGGGTCTCCAGCTTGCCGACTCACCCTATAGATCTCGGGACTTGCCCACCTCTGTAATCACATAAGCCAAATATATATATAGGGATTTATTTTCTATATAAAGGGATAGATATCCATCTCTTTATATAGATACATAAATATCTATATATTTATATGATATAATATAGATATATCATTATATACACAAACACCCTATTGGTTATGTTTCTCTGGAGAATGCTAAATAATACAGAGGCCTTATGAATTCATATTTATAACTGCCTTTGCCCCAGACTCTGCCATTACCTAACCTGGTTATTTTGGGCAAGTCACTTAACCTCTGGAGCTTTCTTTCTTCTTTAAAATGAGAATAAGAGCAATTCTTGTTGTATCTACTTCACCAGGTCCTTGGGCTTCTGAACTGTAACTGTGAAGGAAGAGGCAGGGGAACGTCCTGGTTACGAGCAAACACTGTCATCCTCGCTCTGCCACTGACTGCCCACCAGCAGCTCTTCCACTGTTGACCTTGGGCAAGTGTCTAAGCCTCTCTGGGCCTCAGATTCCTCATCCTTAAAGTAGAAATTGTCTCCCACAGAGTTGTTGAAGATTAAATG